TTTTCAAGGCAGTATTGTCGATATCGATACTGATTCGATACTTCTGAACTAAACTTTTAAATTATGACATTTATTAAAAAATTTAAATTACTAAGAGTAAAATGGGTTACTTTTTGTTTAAAATGCATTTTAACATTCAATACACCTTAATTGCAACTTATTAGGTTATATTTTTTGTTTACACATGATTCAAATCTACAAATACTACAGTTGAACTATGGGCCCTGTAGGAAAACCATGGTTCATTTTCATAAGGGACTGCCAGTGACCGGCTGTTGCATGCATAAAATGCAACCTTTTTATTCTGACAGTGTATGATTTCTATTAACATTACAGAATAGAACATGAAATACAATATTATCTTTCAACGTTCAATTTAAATAACTGTAATTGCACAAACAATGTAGGCTACAATTTCAGTTTGTTTATTGTGAAATAACTCTGTCCTTCTGTTCTCTGATAAGCATTGTTCAGGACTGCCGTTCCCAAAAGCTTTAATGCTTTCTTATGATACTTTTGGGAAAAGCAGCCCTGTTTGAATGCACTGTCAGAAGTGAGTGAATGCTCTCTGTGATGGATTAGTTCTGTCTTGCAACATTTGCGTGTTCAGATGAGCAGGAAAATAGTTCTATCCTACACAATTACTCGCTAACAAAGGTTATTCGTCCAATTCAATGCATATTAAACGCATTATTATTTTTTTGTTAAATAAACAAAATCACTGGTAAGTAAAACACACCTTAGTATCGATATTTTTTGTTTGAGTATCGATACTTTCGATACTCGCGTCAGTATCGATACTTCGGATCGATACACCCATTCCTAACAACAGCTTGTAAGGTGCGGCCAACAAATGTAGTGAGCAGCGCTGTAATCGGAAATCACCCTTAACAGATGAAAGATAGTACAACAAAAATATAACTTTACTCAGCAGACATTCAGACTAATGTTTTATTGTGAATATGAATATGAGCTGAAGAATGAATGCAGTGTCAAATGCAGGTAATCACAGTCGCTCAGTCCATTTCTCTCTCATAATACTCTTCATAATACAGTGAGCTTTTAATACAGTAATACAATAAGCTTTTAATGAAGCAACTCAACGTTCCTTCGTTACTAGTTCTAAAGTGACGTTTTCGAATTAGTAACGGAGGCTTGAGCTCCGCTGTTAAACTGTCAAACTGAGATTTAAATCTGTGGCTGAAGGAAGTAGTTCTGCACAAAAGGAAGAAGACACTCCGTTGTTGTTTTTCTTATGTATTTGCACACTTGTGCCGTCGAAATGTTGTTTAAACGCAATATCACCCTCGTACTCAAGCGATACCGGCTCTATATCAGCGGCTGTGACTGCCTCCGGCACTCAGCCTGCGGCCTCGATATATGCTGATATAGAGCCGGTATCGCTCTCGTACTCGGGTGATATTGCTCATATATAGCATTTTTTCAGTTTTATTTTTCCCTCAAATTCCATTGTATTTTTTCCAGAATTCTGTATTTTCCATTTTTTGTTTTCTGAATTCCATAAAATTCAATTAAATTTTAATAATTAAAGCAATGTATAAAAAAACGTTAATAATTTAATAATTAATTAAAATGTTAACAATAACAATATATTTGATTTTATTCAGAAATTCTGTATTGTCTGTTTCAATTTTTTTCTGGATTCTGTGTTTTATGATTTAATGCACTTTTTGCCAAATCAAAAACAGTGGCAATCAAATTAACCCACAATTTTGACAATGTAATTAATCTTTTAAATTGTAATCAAATTAAATTTGAATGATTCCTTTAATTTTTTGGCAAACAAAGTGAAAAAACATAAAAGTTTTAAAATGTAAAATTGTGTGATATCTACTTTGAAAACGACATTCTTCTGTACAATAGTACTATATTTAAGTCATTTCTTCAACCAACCAAGCAACCAACCTGGGGGTATAGTGAGACGACAGACACTGAAAACCCCACAAGCATCACACATGCTTTAATATGTGTAGTAAATGAAACCGTGCCGCTCATTCACACACAGACATGCAGACTTCATATTTATATAGCAGTCTTTTGTGATTTGATATTCTCAGAATCTAGTTCATATCGCAATTTGTTTAAGTGTATGGCCCTCCTTACGATTTATTCTTCTGAGTTTCCCAAATTCCATGACATTCTCTGTTATTCAATTTTTATGACTGGATTCTGTGATTCCTTCCTACTGAATTCAATGCAAAGATTCATGTAAATGAAGTCTGAATGCATAGTACATGTTTACCTAATGAACTGACATATATTGCTTTTCCCATCAGTAGTAAAGTAAAAAGTGGTTCACACTGAAATATTGCTGCATTTTGCTGGAAAAGGCATTGTAGAAATGCTGACCCAAACCAAATAAATCTGGAGACTTATAATGAAGCAATTAAGCTCTGACATGTTTTACTAGCAATGGCTGCATGTGTTGGCTTGCTGTGGATGTGTCCCAGGGCACCAATGCGTGTCACTATCACAGCAGACGATAAGCTTTGGCTCGCCTTTGACCCCACACCTCATTAATCAACTGCTCACAAATATCTGACCTCCTCCACCTACCTATCAAACATGCCTTCTAATTTAGCTCTAAAACATACACTCCCAAGCAACATAAACATGCACACATGGATGAGAAGAGACTGGATTATGTGATTCCGATCTTTCAGTCAAAATTTTTATTTTTCTGATAATTTCTGATAACGGCCAACCAGCTTTGCAGAATTATTATTAACCACACTGCATGGTATCATAATTATAATTTTTTCAAGGATAATGTGATGCTGAAGACTGGAGTAATGGCTGCTAAAAATTCAGCTTTGCCACCACAAGAATAAATTATATATATATAAAAAAAAAATGTCAAAATTTTTATTTTTCTGATAATTTCTGATAACGGCCAACCAGCTTTGCAGAATTATTATTAACCACACTGCATGGTATCATAATTATAATTTTTTCAAGGATAATGTGATGCTGAAGACTGGAGTAATGGCTGCTAAAAATTCAGCTTTGCCACCACAAGAATAAATTATATATATATAAAAAAAAAATATATAGTTATTTTAATTTGTAAGACTAATTCATAATATTACTTTTTTTTTTACTGTAGGTTTCTTCACTTTCACCTCTCAGGTTTCCTTTTCCTCTGAGAAAACAAGTCAATTAGAGAGTTTCAAGGGCTGAGTGTTGTTGAGAGAGGATGTAGATATGATAGTCTATCATATCTGTCATGCCTGGCTTTTGTCCATGCTAATCGTCACTGTAAAACAAGCTGCTGAAAGGTTATGCTGCATATGAACTTTCCTCTGCTCTCTGTACTGAAACATTTGATAAATGGGCAGCTCCTTAAGATTCCTTCAGAAGCCCCAGGCTGCTCTACATCCCGCCATGTCATCGTTTGCTTATTGTGTACTGACAGCTGTAACTATGGCGATGCCCGTTTTTTGTGACTCTGCAACAGCTGTTTTTTTTTAACCGCCGGCGTTTCAACTGGAGGGACCATGAATCCCCCACAACCAGGAATGTAAAAGGCGATGGTCTCCTGGAGGGCTTTCCTCCCATTACATCTAACTCACCTAAATACCTCCACGTCTTTGATTTGATATATTTTCAGTCCCACGTCTGTGTGCTCTGATTTTAATTTGGTCTGGAGGGTTATCTCAAGGCTAACGTGTCCCTTTAGGAATACTCCTGGTTAACTAGAAGTTGACCTCTGTCAACAGCATCTGTTCCATGCTGTTTATTACCACTGAGAACAAGTTCAAATCAACCCCCTGTTTGTAAAAATAAAACAATAAACATGCTGACATTTGTTTCAACATGTGCTTGCAATGGAAATCTTTTGGGCAATCATTGTATAGTGTGCAACAGATGCTGTCGATAGAACTCAACTTGTATTTAGGCTGAAATATTCTCTTAACCTGCTATTTTGGGGACGTTTAGAGATGCACAATATAGTAGTACTGAATTGGATATCAGCTGTTATTAGTGAACAATATTGTAAATCAGGGTCGGAAATTAAAGGGGGCTTGTGGCAAAAATGCCACCAAAATTAACCTAAGTGCACCACAAATTCAAGATAAAGGGTCAAAAATTGCCCCTGCACAATTAAACAATCGATTATGGCTGTTGCATTTAAAATGAAACGTGAAAATGAATGAAAAGTGTCTATTCGTGTAATTACATTTTGAATCACTCACACTGCATCAAAATGCTTTTTTATGCATTTTTATTTTTTTCAGTGTTGAGCCCTATAACCAATCACACACGTTTCCGTTGAGCTTAAGAATGCGATGGTCAATCAGAGACGCTTAGATTAGTCTGAAACCGCACCAAACAGAGGCATTTAGATTAGTCAGCGCTGAAAACTCCAGAGTTGTTGAGTGTGTGCGCTTACTGATTGAATTCTCTCTCATGAATTCCCTCATCATAAACAACACAGGGCAGATACAATGTAAATAAAAGATTAATTTCGTAGCTTTTCAGTGATTTTTGCATAACTTGCGCTTGTCAAGACTATCGTCATGGACTGACATGTTTGTCTGTGAATCCAAAGCCAGAATATATATGACGAGCTGTTTCTCCAAAACGCAGACACAAAACACAATTAATATAATACATTAATAATTATTATAATATCAAGAGCAATAATCAGCAATAACGATTTTTGTCATAATATTGCAGCCCTATTAGCTCCTGTTTTTAAACGTATAATTTAGATACATTTTTTATTTATTTATAAATAGTTAATTGAAATTGGCAACAGTTTAAAGTATTTTGATTAATTTAAGTAATTGGTTAAATGTACGTATTTTACATTAAATACAACACAGATACAGTTATTAAGGTGGTGATAAACATTCCAGGGGGCAAAAAATGCCCCTTAATGGAAAAGTTAATTTCTGACCTTGTTGCAAATACTATATATATATATATACTATTGGTTACCTACTCATAGCTTCCTCTTCCTCTGTATTCTGCAGTCAGGTCTGATCCGGTTCTCCAGCGAGGAACTTCTCATCACTCCGCTACCGCAGCATTTGGCTTTACAACACAACTACAGCGCCTCCTCTGGACATCACCCACATGTCATCTACAAGCGATCAGCTGAGCGCAGAGTGTATGCTGATAAGACTGACTGGATCAGCAGCGTTAAATCAAACAACCCCTATGAGAACCACCACCACCACCACCACCGTCACCATGACTCCCAGCATGGAAAGCTCCAGAGACACCATTTCTGCGGACGCCGCAAGCAATGTATGTAAGGGAATTTTCTTTTAGCCATTTGTAGATGGAAAGTTCATTACACGCTATATACTTGTAGAATTTGTCATTATGTGTATAAAAGAGTAAAGCCCTCTGAGATATTTATACTGATTCCGAAAGCTAAACTGCGTAATAATATTTCACAGTATTTATTTTTACTGTATTTCTGCAAAATATGCAGCTTTGGTGAACATGAGACTTCTTTCAAAAACAAACCAACAAATCTGTCCCATTTTATTTTATGGTCCAATTCTCACTATTAACAAACCATTAACTATGACTTTTGCCTCAATAAACTCATAATTTGCTGCTTATTAATAGTTAGTTAGGTAGTTGTTAAGTTTAGGTATTGGGTAGAATTAGGGATGTAGAATACGGTCATGCAGAATATGTGCTTTATAAGTACTAATAACCAGCCAATATGTTAATACTAGGCATGCTAATAAGCAACTAGTTAATAGTGAGAATTGGTCCCTATACTAAAGTGTTACCAAAAAATCTTACTGACTCCAAACTTTTAAACAGTAGCGTGTTTCTATATCTGACATGCAGTCCAACCTCATTGTTTTCTATTGGTTACCTACTCATAGCTTCCTCTTCCTCTGTATTCTGCAGTCAGGTCTGATCCGGTTCTCCAGCGAGGAACTTCTCATCACTCCGCTACCGCAGCATTTGGCTTTACAACACAACTACAGCGCCTCCTCTGGACATCACCCACATGTCATCTACAAGCGATCAGCTGAGCGCAGAGTGTATGCTGATAAGACTGACTGGATCAGCAGCGTTAAATCAAACAACCCCTATGAGAACCACCACCACCACCACCACCGTCACCATGACTCCCAGCATGGAAAGCTCCAGAGACAACATTTCTGCGGACGCCGCAAGCAATGTATGTAAGGGAATTTTCTTTTAGCCATTTGTAGATGGAAAGTTCATTACACGCTATATACTTGTAGAATTTGTCAGTATGTGTATGAGTAAAGCCCTCTGAGATATTTATACTGATTCCGAAAGCTAAACTGCCATGTCATTACTATCTGTTTTACTGAAAGAAATTGAATGAAAGCTTGGAAACAGCATGTGAAGTTAATGGTTGGAGCTAAACTCTGCAGGACACCGGCCCTCCAGGACCGAGTTTGGACACCCCTGCTGTATATATATATATAACTGTCTGTTTTATGTGTCTGTATATGTAATCGGTCATGATACTGACACAAAACTTAAATGATACAGACATCACTGAAAATAACTGCTGTCAGCTGTTGATTCTGTAACCGCTCTGATGATTCAAATCAGTAACTCATCTTTTTGAACTATTCACTGAATAGAAATGGCTTATTAGAGTCATTTGATTTTGAATCGGACTACACTTGTCATGCTGGTTATTTTTTAAATCACTAAAAACAACCAACTCATAAGTGTCATTTGCTTGTGAATAAATTGGTCATGCTGTATGTTTTTGATTCACTGCAAAAAACGAAAAGAGTAATTTGTTTGGGAATCAGAATATACAAATCACTGCATGTTTTTTTTTTTGATTAAGTGCAAAGAATTGACTCATAAGAGTCATTCATTCAGGAATCAGACATGTTGTATGCTGACATTTCTTGGCATTATTTCGCAGTACAGTCTTTTAATTGCTTCACATTCAACCAAGACTACAAAATATGATTTAATTTACTTTGGTGCTAAACAGTGCAGGAGACACTGGTCACTATAGCTAGTTTATTCTCATTAACGGTAAATGTAATATGTTTTGATCTGATTTTCAGAAGAATCACAGTCTTTTTTTTTCTATTTCTTTCATACTTGAAAGATGCCAGATCATTCACTACTCTCTCTTCTCTCTCTCTCAACACCCCTCTGAAAACTTCATCTCTCTCGGTTTTACTGCTGTCAGCTGGGTCTGTCTATCAACCACCACGCAGACCAATCTCTCAACAACTTCTGCCAGTGGCAATCAGGCCTGATAGGTAAAAACGGCAAGCGGCACGACCATGCCATACTGTTGACGGGGCTGGACATCTGCTCCTGGAAGAACGAACCATGTGACACCTTGGGTAAGGCACTTGACATTCACCTTCCAATAGCAGAAGTGGGTCATGTGTTGTGAAGTCAGTGGCTAATCGAGTTGCAGGAGGGTGAATTACACAATGCCAAGGTTAAAAAGAGCTTGTGGTTGGTGATGTGTGTCCTAGTCCATCCTCAGGCAGAGAACTTCACCAAGAAATCCAAGAAAGCTCAAATCCACTTTGCAGTCAGTTGGCAGCTTCTTCAGTATTTGCTGTAGAGGCGTCAGCCAAATGTAATGAATTCAGCTCTAAAGCTCCAAACCACAAGTATGCACTTCTTTGAATGTACGGCAAAGGGGAATGCACTGCTTTTAAATTGCCTCTCTATGATGTGAAACTCAAACCGAAGTTGAGACCATACAGTCAGGAAAAATAGCCTAAAAGTGTGTTTATGCGTAATGGGATCCTGTTTCAAAGTCTGTAGGTTTGAAAACATTGTGGTGTGTTTAGTGAAACTTAAATCATGCATTAAAGAGATAGTTCACCCAAAAATGAAAATTACCCCATGATTTACTCACCCTCAAGCCATCCTAGGTGTATACGACATTCTTCTTTCAGACGAATACAATCGGAGTTATATTAAATAATGTTCAGGCTAATCCATGCTTTATAATGGGAGTGGATGGTAGCCCAAAATCTGAAGTCCAAAAAATTGCACCCATCCATTATAAAAGAAGTTCACACGGCTCCGTGGGTTAATAAAGGCCTTCTGAAGCAACGCAATGCGTTTGTGTAAGAAAAATATCCATATTTTAAACTTTCTATATCTTAATATCTAGCTTCCGCTAAGTGTCGTATGCATGTTCACGAGAGAGTGGCATCCAGCAGATGACATAGGACGTAGGCGTAGCATAAGCTCCGGTGAGAATATGCTAGTCTCGCGAGAAACAAGTTTTGTTTACAGCAAAGGAAAACCAGTGTCCTCTTGGCTTATATCCTCCTACATTTTTCTTTACAAATCCTCATTTTGTACTACTAATTCATGTCCGACATCATCTGCTGGACGCCACTCTCTCGTAAACGCGCGTATGACAGTTAGCGGAAGTTAGAGATTAAGGTTTATAAAGTTGTAAATATGGATATTTTTCTTACACAAATGCATCGCGTTGCTTCAGAAGGCCTTTATTAACCCCCCGGAGCCGTGTGAACTTCTTTTATAATGGATGGGTGCAATTTTTTGGACTTCAAATTTTGGGCTACCATCCACTCCCATTATAAAGCATGGATTAGCCTGGACATTATTTAATATAACTCTGATTGTATTCGTCTGAAAGAAGAATGTCATTTGCACCTAGGATGGCTTGAGGGTGAGTAAATAATGGGGTAAATTTAATTTTTGGGTGAACCATCCCTTTAATGTTTTCATTCAGACCTGCTGGATTTTAAAGTTTGAATTGCATCCTCAACATGCATCAGTATCTTCCACCCATGTTTTACTCTTTCTGTCCTTTCTGACTTCCTGTCTGCAGGTTTCGCTCCAATAAGTGGAATGTGTAGCAAGTATCGTAGCTGCACGATTAATGAGGATACAGGGCTGGGCCTCGCTTTCACCATCGCCCACGAGTCAGGACATAAGTACGTTTACTCATACTTTCAGGTCCCACACTATTTCAATTTGGGAAACCATATGCTGTGCAACAAGCAAACATTTTGTTTGTGTTTGCTTGTTGCCGTTGTGATAAAGGGAAGTTTATGCTGTATGTTTACGATTTTGTTTTTTAATGACAGCCGTATTTTGAGTCCTTCGGTCCTTTGGCACATTCTCAACATAAACTGGAACAAAATCTATCCTGGAGAACCACCAGGCTGATAACATGTTGTGGGATTTGTCATTCTCAGCGGTTCAAACATTTTGGTCAAATGAAATGGACACGTGCCTCCAATGTGCACAGTGTTTAGGGCAAAATCTTCACTGGCCAACAGTCGTTAATCACTCATTTATTGAGGAGTGGTAATTTATAAACACATGGCACATCTTTCCAACACTACTTATGTCTGAATTTTGTGACTATAGTGCACATGTTTATTTTGATGCATTCATTAGTCTGATTGGCACAGGGCTGTTGAAAGTAAACATCTAAATGTGTGAATCATGTGACTTATTCAGTAGAGTAGAGATTATCGAAGGGTTTTGTGGGATGAAAGAGCTTTCAGTTGTAGAGGTAATGTCCCACCAGACTCATGGAGTGGTTTCTGTCCTTATGTTGTACATTAGTAGTCTCACTGGGTAAAACTCACAATCTCCATCTCTCCCTCTTTTGCTCCCTCCATTTTTTTGCCCCAGTTTTGGAATGATCCATGACGGAGAGGGGAATCCCTGCCGGAAGACTGAAGGGAACATAATGTCTCCCACATTGGCTGGGAATAATGGTGTTTTCTCATGGTCTGCCTGTAGTCGGCAATACTTGAACCGATTTCTAGGGTAAACTTTCACTTTACTCCACAGAAAAAGTGTTTTTTTAGAAATGTATGTATTTTTACATTTTTATTGTAATATTTAATTTTCTATATACTATAATATTTATTATATATAATTTTAATATATATTTTACATATATTTTTTGTATATATATATATATATATATTTTGTGTTTATAGATAAATATGCAATATGTTGAAATGTATAATATGGTATGGTTTTTATGTCTGTTTCTGTGCTCATCTTTCTTTGCATGCATTTGTGTTCACAGTACGGCTCAGGCTTCATGTCTAGTGGATGAACCTAAGCAGATAGGCCAGTACAAATACCCTGAGCAGCTTCCAGGTCAGCTGTATGATGCTGATATACAGTGCAAATGGCAGTTTGGCTCGAAAGCAAAACTGTGCAGCCTGGACTTTGTAAAGGTAACTCATAGTGTATAAAATATGCTATTAGGCATCTCTTCATAGTAGGAGTGCTTCAGTGGATCTTTATGCTAAATTAGTTTGAACACATGTTAGAAACGTCCAACAACTCTTGTTAAACAATTCAGTTTCAATCAATCCTTTTGACAATTCACAATGCCACAATATTCACAGAGATTGAGTTCATTTAGGGTCACAGATATTTAAATGTGCTTCAACCTGTAATGTTTGTGTGCGGAGACGTCATGGTCAACACAAACACACATCTGAGCTTTGGAAAGAAAACAGTCCACTGAGAGGAGACCCATTGCCTCAAAATCTACTCTTAAGTCTTCATTCACAGTCCATGGACAAAGATGTACAGGGCCCCCTCTGGCATCTGCTGTAGCCTTTAGCGTCTAATGCACACATTGATATGCAAATAGTTGTGCTTGGGAAATGAACATTGCGAGAGTCTATCTGTGGGATTAGCTCTCATGCTATGGACTTTCTCTTTGAGAGATCCCTGTTGCTTTTGTGCGCTTTGGAGACCTTCTACTTGTTCTGAAAAACGTCTTAAACATCAACCTTGATGGAAGGCAGCTGTACATCTTAATTAAGAATGATTGTAGAGATAAAACCCAATGTTTTTGTTTTCTGTTCCCCCAAGCCATCCTGTCCTTGTCACAAAGTCGTTGAGATGTAATTCGCCGTGGGAGCTAGCAGTGTTAGCTACCCAATGATCCAGAGTCCAGTGTTGCTAGCTTTTGTAAACCATGTCTCTCTCTCACTGTCTGCCAGATGCAGTCGGGCCGTCGGCCAGCAGTGGCCGGTCTCCCAACCCCTCATCACCCATTATTATTGTCGTATTGTGGGAAGAAACAAAATGCAACGATAATAGCATGTTTCTTTTGGGCAGCACAGTGATTGATTTTGACAGGCTTTTTTATTTGTTGGGAAAGTTGATTGGCCGTTGCTGTAGAAACAAGAGGTCGGCGTGGTGAGGTGCAAGCCAGGGAGGTTGAAGGGTTCCCAGTGGGTGTAGGCCCATTTTTGACTGTGCTCTCTGTGTGTTCGTGCCCACCAGGACATCTGTAAATCATTGTGGTGCCACAGAACAGGACACCGGTGTGAGACCAAGTTCATGCCTGCTGCCGAGGGCACCATCTGTGGACCAGACATGGTGAGTGAGTGCTTGTCTGTTCACCATTTCTCTGTCTGAACTCACTAAACCACCATTAAGGAGGAACACGAACTGACCAGTCTCTCTCGCCGTTTTTCTTCATGCACACCTGCAGTATTGTTCTCTGCTTTGTGTAAATGTTCCATAAGGACGGTTGGTCCTTTCCACTGGTTGATGGGGATGAGAGGTGCTGATGTGTGGGACTGTGTGGCTTGGCTGGACCGAGTCCTGCTCTCCAGGTGTAGTTCTGGGCCCCATCCCAAACCAGCAGGCTCAAGATCTTCTCGGCAGATATACTCTCTCCTTTACTTCACTTTTCCTCTCATACCGTCTCTTCTCTTTGACATAAAAAAATGAGTTTGTCAGATAATAGTCCGCTATCTCCTCATCTACCACACAAACACTAATTTTGGTGGCTGTTTTGAATTTAAACACATTTCTATGCGCGTAAAAAATTAGTAAAAAAAGTAATTATGAGGCCGTGAGATATGAGCCAAGTCTAACATAAGAAGTAAAGCCACACTATGAGATAAAAAGTTGGAGCTGTGAAATAATATATAATAATTACAAGAAATAGTCGCAAGATTGTGAGATATAATATAACATTGTGAGCTATACGTTTGTAATGGCAAGATATAAAGTCACAATGTGAGAAATAAAGAGGAAAAAAAACAGAGTTTCATACATTACTGATCAGTGTAAGATGTTTATTCTTTTTCTATTTCCATAATGCAGTGGTGCTGGAGAGGACAGTGTGTCAAATTTGGTGATCATGGTCCTACAGCAGTGCATGGCCAGTGGTCGGGCTGGTCCGAGTGGTCTGACTGTTCACGCACCTGTGGTGGAGGGGTCATGTACAGAGAGCGGTCCTGCAACAGCCCCAGGTAACCAAAAATTCAAAGATATCAGACACTTTGCTTCAGACACATTCATGTTAAGATACTGACACATTATTACATTTTTTTGAATGAACCATCTATAATGCATTTCAAGAATATGGTTAAATTCAGTTTGTGTTTGTGTAAGAGGAAATCCAGATGAATATGTCGTCTGATTGCAAAATAACATTATTTTAATATTGTGCTCTGACTGGTTGTTAATGCTAATTAAAATGATCTCTCTAGTAAACTGTTAATGGCACTTTTTCATTGCCACAAATGGTAGATTAGCTGTGAATGGGGGAAGCACATGTGTTTCCAGACCAACTGACCTACTGCAACTCCTAGATTACCCCCGAACCTTAGACATTCACACACACACACACACACACACACACACACACACACACACACACACACACACGTATGTTTACTTAGCTATCTAAATGGGGACATTCCATAGGCGTAATGGTTTTTATACTATACAAACTGTATATTCTATTTCCCTACACCAACACTACACCGAAACATACCCCTTACAGGAACATTTCTGCATTTTTACAATTTAAAATAAACTTTGTTTAATTTATTTTTATACCAGTTTTACAAATGAGGACATCCCCAAAGGGAGGTTTTTGGAGATTTTGTCAGGTTTAGCTCACTTTTGGGTACAAATTTGACACACACACACACACACACACACACACATATATATACACATATACACTTGCATACATATACACATTCATACATATAAGTGTCTGTCAAATAGTAGATGGAGTATTTGTGCGTTTAGGTTCAGGTGCTTCCTCTCTGTATGCGGTGTCAGGTTTATTTGAGATTGGGTTTCTATAGACCACAGGTGGCTCTACATGTGGTTTGGTCAAGCTTATGGAGCATGGAATTGTGCTTCATCAACATTTGGCTGTCTAGAGCATCTTAGCATATTTCTGTTGGAATAGGACATACGTATAATGCCTTAGACAGCCAGACCAACATGTCTGACATGAACAGTTCCAGTAAAGAAAGAGAGAAAGCAAGAAAGAAACTATTCAAAGTGATGTGAGTTGAGGAGGAGAACCTAATTAATGCCCTGGAAATACCCAGCCCAAAAATTGCTGTGTGTTTGTTAAATTGGGTACATATGAAATATTAAATTGGGCACATGTGATCTACTGTATATTATCCATTGTGATCTCATACAAAGTGTTTAGGTAGATTTAAAGATTAGGTTGATTTAAAGATCCTTTACATAGATGCACAACATTTGGAGAGATCCTGCTAAATGATTTTGGAAGCACATTGCTAGAAAAGAAAAGGCATTTCCCACTCTTATTTGCAAGAAAGCTGTTTTCTTTTTTGTTCTGATTTTGTTGGTCTATATTAGTTCAATGGCATCTGATCCACTGACAGAGGTTCAGCTGGGCTTGCTTTTAAGGCATAATTTGTACTATAATCTGAGATTTTTGGGGCGGTATTGGCCTACATTGGTTGGGCGGTATTGCGGTATTTTGATGGACAATCTTCCCTTACGGCTCTCAGACAGCACCTGCAGTGGAATAGGTGTTGGTATGTCTGCTGTTTGTGGCGACGATGTTCAAGGGGAATCCCCATTCTCATCACTTCAGTATAAGGTCCTCAGGAGACAGCTGTTGAAGCCAGCAGCATAAGATGTCATCTCACTCATACAGCAGTAGACAATATCGCTGCTTTTCACACTGCAGTCAAGTGTGCTATGATCATTCTAACTGACTTCTCTTCTCACTGAGTGGCTGTTTACACATACAGTATTTATGAGGTGCAAACCATGAACATCTGCCTGCATTCTGCATGAAAAGCAGAGTTCATGTTGATCAGAACATTTTATCTGTATCATTTCACTCGGAAATGTTTCAAAAGAGGCATTTTGATGGACAATCTTCCCTTACGGCTCTCAGACAGCACCTGCAGTGGAATAGGTGTTGGTATGTCTGCTGTTTGTGGCGACGATGTTCAAGGGGAATCCCCATTCTCATCACTTCAGTATAAGGTCCTCAGGAGACAGCTGTTGAAGCCAGCAGCATAAGATGTCATCTCACTCATACAGCATTTATCAATAAATTTGATCTGATAAATGTGCTCCCTTGACTTTATCCATACTCAGCTGGCAGATTTACAGGTACAAGTGTCTTTGATATGAATGTTTGAAAAAGACATCTGGCAACAGCATAGTGGAGATGGTTGTTGATGGGATTGCCTTTTTGAAGTTTGTTTACTGTATAGGATACAGTGTTAACTAAGAGAACATGGGTAGCAGTAATGCATCATTACCTGAGGCCAAAGAAAAAGAGAATAATGTTCCCCTTTGCCAACAACTCTTGTCTGAAGTTTAGCATGTAGCACAAAATTTATTTGGGCACAGTTATTTCAACGTATAATCAGAAAACATGCACTTGGCTTTCTCCCTCGCCTCTTCTATATCAATCTCTTTTTGTGCTTTGTGTGTTTTTGTAAAAGCTCTACCATATGGGCCCATAGTACACTGTCACTAAAGCTCTAATAGGATCAGCCTGAAAACCTGCTCCAAAAACAAAAGCAGACATGCACAAACAGCCTCTGACAGCACTGTTAGGCTATTACTGATCTCACTGACTTCTCCTGAAAAGTGAGGCATAATTTTCCAATGCAGTATGTTCATAGATCAAGGGTTCCCAGAGTTTTTCACACCAGGATCCACCTAGAGATGTATAATCTCGTTGAGACCCACCAAAAACTTTTTAGTAAAAAAAGAAAAGAAAAAAAGTTTGAATTGAAGTAATTGAATATATAGTAATTGCCTATATAATTGCCACACAACTTCAAAGTCACCAGCAAGTTTCCAACAAATCTTTTGATCTTTACTTCAGATTTACAAGCTGTAATCTTTTAGTTAGCGTAGTTTGCTAGGAGCCGAGTATAAACACAATGAGGCTGTAAACGTGCACTAGTGAGTAGATGAGTTTACCTGTTTTGCGCGACAACCTCTGTAGTCCTATTTAGCCACTTGTTAGCTACAGCCTTTTTTCAAGACACATAGAAGCTTAAAAAAATAACGAGTGGGGTTTTAATTATGTTTTTCATGTTGTAAAATACAATGTAAAAATATGCTGAACTTGTGTTGACCACTGACCCTATTTCTGGCATTTAACCAAAAACCCATAGACTTTCACAGAATGAAACCAGAAGTTCAAAAATGCTAGTATTTGCAGTTCAATAAGTGAATCATATGTTGATTCAGTAGCCACTCTAATGGATTTGGTGAGTTAAATCAATAAAGGTTCATCAAACCAGTAACTCTGGGTTCTTTTTAAACAATTCAATAAAATAATCAACTCTTTAGAGTCTTTTGTTCAATTGGTCGCTCTGTATGTTTGCGTGCATCAGAACCCACCACCATTCTAGTCACCCACTTATTCCCACTCTGCAACCCACCAGCAGGTCAAGACCCACAGTTTGAAAACGAATTATGTTGTCAGTTTTCAAAAGAAAAGTAACTTGTATATCTCACTGTGTGTGTTTTCCCAATGCTTTCTTTGTTTGATCACTCACTGTACATGCATAAAGATGAGTGATTTTTAAGAGCACGTGGAAGGCTCAACTGCTCCTCAAGTGTGAACATGCAATAAAAAGCTAAAGGCCAGAGACTAAAAGAACAGGCACACACACACATTGACAGGCCCATGGCGCAGTCCTTTGCTTTGAGGTTAAGCTACAAGAGGGTACCCAAGAGTCTTCCACTTTAAAACATGCAGCCATGCCGCAAGCATGCGTCCGCTCTCACAGCCTCGGTTACAGGAGCTGCTGGACCGCTTTTCCCTCAGGAAAGATGGTGACTGTTTGCTTCATGTGGCACTTGGAGGCATTCCTGTGGCATTGGGAGGAGGCTACCACTCTTCTCCAGCCTCAAGCTGCCTCAGCAAGACAGGGTGACAGTTCGAACACATTGTCCAGAGCCTGAGGGCTGACCTTTTATGATATCCAGCCTTGCTTGCAAGAGTTGGCCATTACAGATTTCAGAGAAGTAAAGATGACCGAATGAAATTCGATGTTTGTCCAAGAAGGGTTATGTTAGTTTGGTGGTTGTTTTTTGCTAGATCAGCCAGAAAAATCCTATCACTGTTTATCAAGGTCAGCTTGTTGGTTAACTAGTTAAGAAAACATGGTAGGGACCATCCAAAACAAACCATTTTCAACCAGGTTTCCTATTTGACTGCAAGCAAGTCGACTCAGACAACACAATGTGTAAGGTACATCAGCACAGCTGCGTGCTGTCTTATTCTCGTTGACGTTTATTATTCAAAAATCATAGCTGTTGAAAACACAGGCGAGTCCAAGTCATGAATGGAATTGTATTCCAAGCACTTAATATCATTTACAGCTGTCAGTTGGGATGTGATTCAGTCAGACACATCACCGATAATGCACAAAGACATTCCCTTAGTGCAGATGCTAATGCACATCATATGAAATGCATCTCACAAGCCCCTCTTCCAAAAAGTACTGAATGACTGTCATTCCTCTTGCATGTTGAATGCTTGCTGAGGCACATCTGTTTCTTCTCTTCTTCTTGCTCTCTCTCCCTGCTTCCATATTCACTTGTGCTAATTGCTGGTTGTTTCACCCAAGCCCACAGCACAACGGCAAGTTCTGCCAAGGCCCCGGTCGACTGCACCAGCTGTGTAACAACAAGCGATGCCAGCCCAATGAAGTGGACTTCAGAGCTCAGCAGTGTGCCGAGTACAACAGCAAACCCTTCAGGGGATGGTACTACAAATGGAAGCCATACACCAAAGTGGAAGGTATGGGAGATATTTGGGCCTTAATGCATTCATTGCGAACAAAAGCAAATGTCTCATTAACAGTTTGAAGAGAGCACAGTAAACCTCTGCTGGGTTCAAAATCCCCATGCATCTTCATTTACTGGACGAGCGAGACTCACACTTTAAAAAAAAAGAATGTATAATAAATGTATGAGTTCAATCACATTTTAAATTAAATAATCTAATCTAATCTAATATATAATCTAATATAATATAATTAATATAATAATGTACATTACCATTCAAATGTTTGGGGGCTGTAAGATTTTTGAAAAATGTTTTTGAAAAAAAAAAAGGTCTCTCTATACTCACCAAGGCAGCATTTATTAAATCAAAAATACAATAAAACAGTAATATTGTTAAATATTACATTTAAAATAGCAGACATTACTCCAGTCTTCAGTGTCACACGATCCTTCGGAAATCATTCTAATATGCTGATTTGGTGCTCAAGAAACATTTCGTATTATCCATGTTGAAAACAGTTGTGCTGCTTAATATTTTTGTAGAAACGATATATATATATTTTTTAAGGATTCTTTGATGAATGGAACACTAAAAAGAACAGCTTTCATTTGGAATTTAAAAAAATACATATTAAAAAAATATAATAATAAACTTTTGAACTGTATATGCTCCCTTGTCTGACATAACTAACAACAAACTTCTAAACATTCATCTCAGACCTTGCCTGCTTAGTTTTTAATGTTTGATATCTGAGTCAGCAAGAACAGGTGTGTTTTTAAATAGTAATCATTCTCATTTGTTTCTGACAATATGTATTGAGATTGTTACATAGGACAAATATATTCCACCCAAGTGATTCATCTCACCTAATGTGTGTTGCCTAAGCTGTGCATGGATTTGGACTGGAAACATGTATCCACTCGTTCTGTGAGAGCAGTGCACTGATCAATCTTGTAGGCAGGTTTGGACCTGAATAGGACCCTGTTTGTGTATTTGGGCTTTCTTATGAGTTAGTGGACTGGGAGTGAAAAAGGGAAAGGATAGGAACAATTGCGTACTGTCCTGTCAGATTTTTTAAAACTAATGAGAAAGACTTGAGGAGATGCTGAGCTGTCTCCTGCTAGAAAGTCCTCGTCAGTGTATCCAGGGGTTTCAGTGGGGTGAATGGAGCTCAGTGCTCAAATCAGTAGGTTGTGTGTTTCAGTGGCTAGTACAGGTGTTAGGAAACACTTACCCCTATTTGACTGGGATTTTGGAGCTAGATCAAATTGGATAAACCACTGACATGTCCCGCTGTTAAGTTCCTCTTGGCCTCCTCTTTACTTTTAGGTGCATTATTCAGAATTAAGCTTTTATTGTTCGGTTTACTGTTGTTTAGCTTCCCTTTGAGCTACACCTGTAAGTCTGTAACAACATCATTTGTTTCCTTTGAAGTATAAGCACAATAATTATGATCTAATATGTTCCAAAAAAAAAAAAAAAAAAATCTAACAGTTCATACTGAGCAGCTGTATCGGATGAGCCTGGATCTGTGTGTGAATGCAGATGCGTCTCTGATAAGTCCATATTTTTCTCTCGGTAGGAGCGTTTGATAGAGTTGACCCTTTTGCATTCCAGCTTTATGGGCCCATTTGTAACAGAGTTTTAAATTTTAGTGCAACATGTGTTCTCTGGGTATGTTCTCTACAGCATGGTGAGCCTTCCAGTTGCTTCGCGGCCAACCATACACAGTTTAAACATTCCCAGTAATTAGCACTAGACAGTAATACACAATTGCATTGTGTCTGTTTGGAATAAATTATGCATGACATAATTTATGACATAATTGAATTTAATAAAAACAATTTTTTAAATTTTTGATGCATATGTTGTATTTTTTGTGCATATGCTCAATATAATTGTTTTCCAATTTACATAAAAGTCCACCTGCATTTTGTCTGAAAGATGTTCACAGGATCATTGCTCCATATGTCTTCATGCATGAAACTTCATAGCAGCGCACTGAGAGGACCAGAACACTGCTTCAGAAGATCTAACATAAAATCACTCTGAAGCTATAAGATCTAATGACCCCATTCATCTCCTATCTAGAAGAGGACATCTGTAAGCTGTACTGCATTGCTGAGGACTTTGATTTTTTCTTTGCTATGTCCAGCAAAGTCAAAGATGGGACGTCTTGCTCTGACTACAAAGGAGGCGTGTGCATTGATGGAATATGCGAGGTACGTGAGGAGGTGATGATTCTGAGAAGGTCATCACATTTACCACGGATTTTACGATGGTTTTTTGCATGAGAATTGCTTGACATATGCCCAGTTGGCTAAACTGTGTGTGTCAGTTTGAAAATTTAATTTTAAGAACTTTTTCTGTGCAGCCGGTGGGCTGTGACCAGGTATTGGGATCAAAGGCTGCTTTGGATGCCTGTGGAGTTTGTAAAGGAGACAACTCCACCTGCAATTTCTACAGTGGCCTGTACACCCTCCAGCACAGAGCCAACGGTAAGGTGCTTGTAGAGCATGTTCCTTTCATACCTTCTGATCTTCTCTGACAAATCAATATTTTGAAGAGAGTCACAGGCTTCAAGAGAAAGAAACAAGGAGTATATCATGATAAAATAATAGAAAAATGCCTAAAGCAATGGTTCTCACCTGAGGTGGTTCTTAATTTTATCAGTGTTGAAAACAGTTTTGCTGCTTATAATTTTAATGAAAACCGTGCTAAATTTAGAATTTAGAGTTCAGTTTATTTTGACTTAATTAAATTTTTTTTAATAGAAATATTTTGTAACAGTACTGACCCGAAACTTTTGAATCTTTCACAAATCTGCATTTTTTGGGGGAATTGAACACTGGAGGTAATTAGGTGGTATTTGATTTGATCAGAATAGTTTGGAACTAGTGGTCTTTAATAAAATATAATAAAAGATCACAGAGAGTGAAATAAGAGAAGAAAAAATCCTTGTTGTATGAGCAAGTCTGTCACTTTATAGCTCCTCTCCTCAGATTTAACAGAAAACTTCAATGTATTTTTTAGAGCACTTACACAGCAAGAGCTCTGCAGTCTGGCACCTCATTGCTCTCCTCTGAGAGAAGGAGGTGATAATGCATCAGCTCAAAGATGCCTGTTCTCTCTGGCCTTTAAAAATGCAGAAACTGCAAAAGTGAGCAGACATGGCAAACCTATTTTCTCTTTTTTTCCTTCTCTTCAGAATATTACCCCGTTGTGACGGTTCCTGCTGGAGCGAGGAACATCAGGGTACAGGAGATGGAGATCTCCACCAGCTACCTGGCTGTCCGCAGCCTGAAGCTTGGCACCTACTACCTGACGGGGGACTGGACGGTGGACTGGCCTGGCAGATTCCAGTTCGCAGGCACTACGTTCAACTATCAGTGCTCTTTCAACCGGCCTGAGATCTTGTACGCCACAGGCTCCACTAATGAGACCCTGCTCTTTGAAGTGAGTCACCCCCGTCCCCGTCCAGCCTGACACCTGTTAGCGAATTAGCCATGACAGGGTCTTGGCAAGAGTGCCGTGGCCATTCGGTCAGATGAAAACAAGGCTGAGGGACAGTGGGTGAGCGAGAGAGATGAGAAACAAATGAGGGAAAGATAGAGAGAGAGAGAGAAGAGAAGGGACACAAATGAGTCGAACGGGCAGACTAACGCCTCTGTTTGGGATTAATTGCAGGCCAGAGCCGACGTGGTCATTGCGACTTTCATCTTCAGTATGTGGAGATTCGAGATCAAACGGTGCGACAATGTGAATGGCACTATGCTTTGAACTCGCTGCACTGTGTGCTGTGCTAATGGGCAGCACAGGGCACCGCTTTCATGAAGGGTGATGAGTATGGGTTCAGATGTTCCTTTGAGGTTAAGTCATAGTAAGGACGCTTCATATATCACAAATCCGAAGCAGGGATAAGAGAGATAATTAGATTTCAGAAGGATCATTTAAACCTTTTATTGCCATTGTGTTGTACTGCAGTAGATCCGTTCTGAGGGCTGATATGTAATGTTAAGTTTGCTATTGGAAAGAGAAAATCCAAATCCGCTAATCCACGATGCAGCATTATTTCTATATTGCAGTTAGAAATAGATTTGTTGCCTCCAGGCCAAGAAAAAACATAAGAAAACAACTTTTTTGTCAAAAGCTCAGGAAAACAGCTTTTTGCTTACATTGAGGTAAGGGAAAATTAATAAGATCTTGAGATCATTTCATATCAAGCTCACAAGAAATTTAGTCAAGATTTAAAATAGATGTTATGTCTATGTTATGCCAAAATCTAGAGAGCCTTAAGTTTTGATTGTGACAACACAAGACTAAACTGAAGAATAATGCTGTAGCATCAAACAATTCAATATTAATGCTGCTGCAATCTGTATTGTAACCATCATAAAGTTATTGTAAAGTTTGAATGAATCATTTGAACTCCAAGAAAGAATAACATGATGGCATGTTTGGATGGCTTCACTTACCAGTTAAAACAAGTGCAGATCCCTTATATCATACTTCCAAATTTTTCTTGTTACCAACACCTCAAGCTGTTAAAAATCTATTTGGCCTTGATACTTTTGCAGGTGTTATTGTGTAAGCTATACAAAAGTTAGGTATGCTTAATTTAATACGCTTTCATTTTGATCTTATTTACTGGCCTTTGATCTGCACCACACTCAACCTGTGCTTTATGTGCATGCCACATTCCCCTTCAGCACACATGCCCTCTCTTCATTACGTTTCCCCAGGGTGGGTGGTGGCAGCAGAGGTCTGATTTGCAGATGAGTTGGCATTAATCTCTCTAAGTATACGCTGTAATTTCAAAAAGAAGAGTAAGGTAGAGAGAGATTAGAAGATTTCTGCAATTGAACTCAGTAGATCAGAGAGGCTTGGGGTCGCGGGAAGCAGCTGATCAATTATGCTTGGCTGGGTCTCTCATTTTAATGGATAAGTGTCAGCTTCAAGACCCTTACTGAACGCTTAGGAAAGTGCATTTTGAGAAATGCGAATGTAAATGTTGACATGGTTCCAGGTTTTAATCGGCTCAGCAAGGTGGATTGAGAGGCACTAGACGAGACAGAACAGAGCAGTTCCTTTCAAACTTGACGTGCTTCTGATTTAAACACTTTTTGGGATTTAATTAAGTATTGACGTTCTTGTGGCATGTCTTAAGAGGGTCATGCCAGTCCAGAGTGATTCATTTAGATGTGCTCCCATTCATCAGTCTTTCATTCACTCGTTTCTTCTTGACGGTAGGAACTGCTACGCTTCTAGCCAGGGCACAGATGGATTTTTGTGTAGTAACCCTATACTGGGAGTGCTTGATAATGAACCTGTCCTAGTAGTCCTGTAGTTTAGTAATTACCCCAGATTTTCCGTCATTATTCAGAATGACTAGAGCGAAAGAGGGGTGTCTAGAGCTAGATCAGATGAAGTTTCATTGCAACATAAAACAAAACTAGCATAAAACATAAAACAAAACGAGCTTTTACAGTATTTGGATGGGGAAGGTTGTTTTGCATGTTGAATTGATGTTTAAAATTGTGATTCTTGTTTCATATGTTAAGACTGAAACTCTAGACTTCCTATATCAGAGCGCAGACATGGTGCAATGGACTCATGTGGGTCTTGACCCTGGATCAGAAGAGGTAGAGTTTCCCCATGTGTTGTATCCATAGTCAGATGGCTAGCCGGATCACAGATGGATCAGAGACCTCCTCCTGGGCCTGATTCTGGAATAGTTGCTCTGTGTTCAGTGCCAACTGTAAATCTGGACCAGTTTTGAACAGGCTAGCGTGCAGGGTCTCACAGACTGCTTCCAGGGCAATAGATTCAGCCTGGACACTCAGAGGGAGAGGGAGAGTGAGCCAAGATACAGTATGTTAAAAAGTTTGCTAACTTGCCACTGTGTTTCAGTATACTTGTTTTACTTCCTCTGAAAATCCTCCAACCTTCAAATACCACCTTTGTTTGATTCGCACAATATCTTCTGCTGTTCTGTTGATAGATTCTTTCCTCCTCTACAGGTCTGGACTTAGTTGAGTTACTTTCAGTTAGTGGTTCTGTCTCAACATTCACCTGCATCTCATTGAGCATTAAACATTAATTCACATGAATTCTTACCTCTCCATCCGTAATGTAAAGCATATATTCATGACACTAAATTGAACCCAAGTTTGGCTAGTAAAGATTTTAGATAGTTTTAGCTAAACCGATAATCTGACAGAGCAGTGAGACTGGTTTATTGTGTTTATTGTGACTGATTTAAGCATAATCTTCCCACATCAGCAGCAGCCTGCCACACACTTCCTGTTCAAAACATTAACTGAGGGTAAATCCATCGTAATTAGAGGATGGGTGGCATCTGCCTAATCCACTACTTAAGTTCGCACTCTTACTTAAGAGAAATTTGGGCTGCCTTGCAATTACTGTTGGCTTGTTTAAACACTGCTGCAACTCTCCAGTGACCCTTAAGATTCGATCCTTGTTTAGCTGCTTTGTTTATACATATAGTTTGGTGATTTACCAGTTCCAGTGAATTTGGTGTCATTGCATTTTTTATTATAAACAGTCTGAGGAAAATCCCCATTTGGCAAAGTCTGAGTAAAAACAAAGGTCCTCTTCTTGTCAGAGAACTTTTCCACTCCATTAGAGTTATCCTCGAGCTGTCCTCAGTGGCCTTGGGCACATATTTAGTGAGGAACTGGCTGAACTTCCTCTGTGGTCTAGTCTCACATGAATGAGTACAAGATCTTCTCCAGGAACAGCCACCAAAACTATAGCATACAGACCTACTGAAACATAAACATCAATGTAAAACTTACTGGGAAATAAAGTCTCACAGTACACCACTATATGAAAATATTCAGATTCACCCAACCCACAGTTTGGTCCACTTGTGCCGTTTTCCAAGCTGACAAGCTTCAGTTCAAACACATAGACAGTCTAATTCAACCATCCCTCCAGATCAGCGTCACACTGTGGTGTCATCTCTCAATCCCAGTGGAGCTACAACCACAAAACAGCAGCAGACACTCTGGCAGCTTCTTCCTTGCTGGAATATGAGAACATTAACAAGAAAATCAGCACGTTTGCATGCAATTTAACAGTTAAATTTCAGTCCGTTTTTTTTAAACGTTGAGTAAACAGCTGAAATCATACCAGTCCAGTTTTTGCATATTCAAACTAGCAGATCTAGATAATGTGATTGGAGTTTGACTTTGTCCAGCATGTATGTATGTTAATCTGACTAAAAGTGGCCTCATTATTGAGTGCTTTGCTCCCAAAGACAGGTGATGCATGGTGTGTATTTGAATCCTTCACATATTCGATTGTTGTTTGTTTTATGTCCACTACTGTTCAAAAGTATGGGGTTAGTAATACTTTTTAAAAATGTTTTTGAAAAGAAGATTCTTATGTTCACCATGGCTGCATTTATTTGATCAAAAATAAAAGTAAAAATTTGTAAAAGTAAAAATAGCAACATTGTATTTCACAATGAGTTTTTACATGATTACAATTTAAAAGAACTCTTTTCTATTTTATTATGTTTTAGAAGATAATGTATTCCTGAGATGGCAAAGCTGAATTTTCAGCAGCCATTACTCCAGTCTTCAGTGTCACATGATTCTCCAAAATCCTTCTAATATGCTGATTTGCTGTTAAAAAAACATTTATTATGTATTATTATTATCAGTGTTGAAGATAGTAAAATGGTAATGTGTTTTTTAGGATTCTTTTATGAACAGAATGTTTGAAGTATAATTAAAATAGAAATCTTTCATAGCATTTTGAATTGCATTAATTTTTTTCATCAATTTAATGCATCATTGCAGAATTGCAGAAAACTGCATCCTTGCAGTATAACATTTCTGTCAGTTTCTTCAAGCTTTTGAACAGTCGTGTATACTTAAATGGACAGAAGCCTGTTGCTTGATTGTTTTCACCAACCTATGTCCATCTCTTCTCCTCCACAGATTCTTCTTCAGGGTAAAAATCCTGGTATATCATGGGAATACACTCTACCCCATCCTGAGAAGAAGCACAACTACACCTGGTCTGTGGTGCGCTCTGACTGCTCTGCGCCTTGTGCTGGGGGTGAGTTGATGCCGTATGTACAGTAAATGTTTGCTTTGCTGACTCAAGTGTGAGAGAGCAGAGTTTCTGTGGTTGTGTGGTGTGGTGAGGAAGGAAGCGTATGTGTGTATTTGTCCAGGTCCATCAAACACACTTTTGTGAGCTGAATAAAAAACTAAAAAAAGGTGGGCCCCTCCTTCCTCCAGACCTCTCAATCTCATTGGCTTATCTCTGTGGTAGTGGCTCCTCCATTCACAGTCAGCTGTTTGAGTGTTGGTGGCAGACAGACAGCACTATGACATGCCCACAGATCTCTATCTGTGCTCTCACACAGTTTCATTCATGCTTTTCTTTAGAGCAGACCTCTGGGCCTCCCCTCCTGGCCTCTCACACTGACAGAGGCCCGGCTTTGTTTGCTCAGAGAATGCATTAGTTTATCGCATGATTAAGATGTATGTTAGGCTGGGTTAGAGAGATGGATTTCTGCAAAATGTCCAAAGAGAGTAGTTGTGTTTATACTCATCTGTATCTCTCTATATCTCTTTCAGGTCGGATCTCGACGAAAGCCATTTGTTTGCAGGATCAGAACACGCAGGTCAACTCTTCACTCTGCAACCCTGAGACCAGACCTGTGGTGGGCTCTCACCTGTGCAACACACAGCCCTGCCCTGCCTAGTAAGAGTCTCTGTGTGTGTGTGTGTGTGTGTGTGTGTGTGTGTGTATGTTATTCTGTCTGCATTCCTTGTTCCATGCTTGCTTCTCTCCAGCAGGGTTGGACACAACTTAGAATTTAAGAAATAGCTCCATTTCAGTCATTGAGTTCAAATTTGAATTGCTCACACCAAACACAGTAGTTGAATTGGAAGTTAAATAGGAAAGAAACAATATATAAAACATGCACATAAGACTTTAAATACCTTTTAAACTTCTTTAAAGTCATGATATAATGTAAGTAGCAACAGATGCTTTTTTCCAGATTGTGACATATACATCCTTTTGAGACAGATTAGAAAATAAATGTAGGGTGGGTACTTGGTTCTGTCAGTTGGTTGTTTATTGGATGGAGGCAGATCTGAATGCAAGCTTGCAATTGATTGTAAAACAAAAATGGGTGGGTATGTCACAATATGGGAAAAATATCTCTCACTAAAGATTATCAAATTATGACATTTACATAAAAAATCATGACGTCAAAAAAAATCGAACAAGTATGAATGAATCATGCACAATATGATCAACAACATGCATTTAGAAAATTGTGAATTTTTATTTTATGCTGATCTCTGATCTCATGCTGGTCTAATTTTGTCTTTACCAAACTTCATTTTCTAGTTAAAAATTTATTTAATTCACATTTTATTTTAATTCAACTTTCTTAATTTCAAACCTGTTTGCTACTTCCAATCAAATTAAAAAACTGAAATAGAATTTAAAAAGCATTCTTAGTTTAATTCTCAGTGGTGTACAACCTTGCTCTCCAGCGCTATTGGTGGGCACAGTGCCCAGGTATGTCTGTCTGAAATCAGCTGTGGTGGCTTTAGCATGAGCAGAACCCAGCTTAAAGCTCTGAGAAATCACGTTCTTTTCTCTGTTTCATTCCTTAAAGAAAACAGGATTAACATAGCCTCCAGACAGGGACTGTCTGCACCCTCACTACCCAAACTCCAGCTCCAAGCCACAGCCTGCCACACACGCACCTCTTAAATTATACAAACTCAAACCCACATACACACCAGGTTTCATAATAAGGCATATAGACACATATAAATACTAGTTTCTAGTTCTGTCTTGTCTTTTTGTTGACTACAGTGAATTACTACTCAAATATTCCAAGAATCGAAGCCATATTTATCGAAGTCTCCCACTATATTTACAGTGAGTGTTATGAGTGAAAAGGATAAGTGTTATATTTGGAAATGAGGAAGATAAATGGGAAAAAGGCACTTTACAGAAGTCGGCGAATGAATTGGGTAGAGACATTGTACCGTGCGTAAAACATGCTTAATGATCTTTTTGCATGGAAAAAAAGAGAAAGAAAAGCAGGGACCATCTCACTAGGGACCCTGGGAAAAACATTCTCAGTCTAGGTGTCAGAAACCTCCTCGGGGCTCTGGAGACTATGAAAGGAACTGCTCAAAACAGCCTTTATCTGGATGTCTCAAAGCTGAAGTCAATCTGCCGGTCCATCTTCCTTTTGAGAGTCTTGCTGCCATTCCTACAAGAGCAACACTCAACTTAACTTGATTTACTGATCTCTTGCCTTACAGAAGCATCTACATATCCTGCATCCCTCACTTGCCCGGGTGAAAGGCATTGACGCACCATTCTGGATCTCAGATAACAAATCACCTCTCCTGGCTTTCTTCCCTCCGTCCTTCTCGCTCTCTCTTTCTCTTTGGCCTTACGTTGTGTGAAATGTTGGCTGCGAACGATTATAACATTCGGGCTATGGCGAGGCAATGCTAAAAGGGGAAATCAAGACCATATGATTATTTCATTACAGCAACAAGCTCTAACCAGTTTGGCTTGTCCCATTCAAAGCCTGACAAATAGTCCAATAGTGTGTAATTGAAAACAACAGCAGGGTTGACGGGAGAGCAGAGTGTCTGTGGCGGTGCTGGATATGTCGAGACAGACTGCACAGGTTCCCATCACTCACCGCCAATGTCTGCCTGTAACCCTATGACACTTTAACTTGGTGAGCAGAGAGGCCTTGATTACCAGTAGAGAATACCAGTGATCCCAGACTCCTTCTGTTGGTGTCACAGCGCAATTACATCACCATCCTGTGGGTCACACAATGAGTTAGTTACTCTGTCATACCTGCATTGGAAAAGCTATTAAAAGGGATAATTCCTCCAAAAATGAAACTTCTACCATCATTTACTGTCCCTCATGTTATTTTTTTTAACAACCTGTGTGACTTTCTTCTTCTTCTGCAGAACACAAAAGAACATATTTTGAAAAATGTCTGTTTTTTTTTTCTGACAATGAAAGTGTTGTTTTTGGACACATATTTATATGAATATCTTCAAAAAATATCTTCATAATATCTTCTTTTGTGTTCCGCAGAAGAAAGAAAGTCATACAGGTTTGGAATGGCATGAAAGTGAGCAAATGATGACAGTTTTAATTTTCATCCCTTTTTAGAGCTTTTCAAATATAGGTACGACAGGGTATTACGTTAAATCTTAAATGGCCTTGTGCGTTTTCTTCTCTCTTCATGAGATTCCCAACATTCAGAATGGATTTTTTTTTATCTCGGTGTAGGTCATACTGTAAGTGTGTTTATTGTTCAGACAGACAGGTCCTAAATCCCACAGTTACTAATGACCTCCCCCACTGTATGCAGAGCCGAGTCTGTTTCTCTCCATACTGAATGACATCACGGCCTTAAGATATCGACTTCAGACTCCCAGAACATTATTTGTTTGAGGCATTATGTGCTTTGATTTATGACTGCTGAAAAGAGGAAAACTAAAAAAAAAATATATCCTTTGGAAACACTTCCAGAAAAGTATGGGCATGCATTCAAAACAGGAGAACAAGACAGAAGCTTCTGCTTATCTTTCCAGCAAATATCTTCAGTGTTGACAGGTCTGCCCATGTTTTATTATGGAGCAAGAGAGACTGCCTCCCTGTGGGGATTGAGCGCGTCTAGCCGGCAAGGAATCAAGCGCTAATCTCCATACTATGGCCTACAGGACTCAGTCTGACGACTTGCTTCCGGCTGCAAATGCTGCCCTGCTGCTTCTGTGAAGCGTGGAGCGCGGTGACTTCAAACACAGGCTGGGCCCAGAAGCGGCCAGCTTGATTTGTTCCCTAAAATGTCATGAAAAGATAAATGTGCATGCCTTAAAGACTTTTGCAGTGCCCTCTGAATATTCCTCCTTTTCTTTTGGTTTATTAGTTGTGTTGCATGATTGTGTGTTTGCTTTTCTGTTCAACCGCCATTCTTCAAAGTGCAGACAGCTTTAGGAGTTTTTTTCTTTTCTTTACCAGACTTTTGTACAATCGACCACCTCACATACAGTATTGTTCAAAAGTTTGGGGTCAGTAAGGTTTTTTTTGTAAAGAAATTATTTTTTATTCAGCAAAGATGCATTAATAATTGCATTAATATGCATTGATAATAAAAAAGCAACAGCTGTTGATAATACATTGATAATAATAAGAAATATTTCTTGCACACCAAATCAGCATTTTAGAATGATTTTCGAAATAAATTTAAAAGCTTTGCCATCACTGGAATTAATTTGATTTTAAAATAGAATAAAATAGAAAACAGTTATTTTAAATTGTAATAATATTTCACAATACTATTGTTTTGCTGTATTTTAATAAAAATAAAATTGCAGCCTTGGTGAGCATTAGAAACTTTCAAAAACATTACAAAATCTTACTGACCCCAAACTTTTGAACTGTTGTGTACACGATCACCCAAAAAGACTACTGTAATGAATAACAATTTCCAATATCATACAACCAAACATAGCTAAAGTGGTTAGAGCACATGCTTTGGTCTGTTCAAAAAGTAATATTTTTAGCATAAAAAAAAGAAAAATGTCACATGGGTTTAGGAAAGTACATGGTTCTCTTCGTGCTCTTAAACTTACACATGCATCCAAACCCAAACCATTCCTCAGAGAGCGCTAAAAATTCAGTCTTTGTCCCATGGTACGACCAACAGTATCTTAAATTTCATTGAGTGATTTGGAACAAGTATCTATTATGGGTGCATCATTCTGGGTAGACATGGAGAAAATGCCAGCGAAATCAGACCGTATCCGGAAATGTGAAGCAGTCCACAGTTTTGCCCCCAAAGATATGTCTTCTTTAATTGTATGGCTTGAAATATGCGAGTTATTGAAAGATTCCAGAAATACAAAATTAAAGCAAACGCCAGCAGTGGTTTGCAGTGAGGCACGGCAAGTCAGCTCTTTGACCAATGACACATTGTCATTTATGTGGCGAGGAGAGGACAAGGGGGAGTGAAAAGGCATATTGTGCTGTGGATCTTGTTTCTTCCCTCAATTAAAATAGCAGTTTAACCATCTCCCTCCGATTTGTCAGATGGCTGGAGAGAAAATTAAAGGATTTTTCTCAACTCCGTGGCTCAGGTCTGTGCAGTGGTTGGCTGGAACTGGGTCTTCTAAGAACTCGACCTGGGGCGTCTGTCCGGTGTTGTGGCCACAGCTCTCGTCATAGCTGTCATTTGCTCTAATCTCACCCCGGCCTGCCCAACTCTATTTTAAAGCCTCTTTTCATCCACAGCCAAGAGAAGCAAGGATAGAGTTGCAATCTGAGCACTGGAACCAAGCTTCTCTGGCAACTAGTGATGATTTTTACACATTTTTCTTTTCTTTTAGACATAAATACACATAAAATTTATTCTGTATTTTATCACGTCATTTCCATTATCTAAAGTCAATAAAATTGTTCTAATAAAGATAATTCTAAAGTCAATAGAATTATCTTTAGTCCACAAAAATATCATCTTATTTGATGGAAGAGGGCATAATTAAACCAAATATGCACATGTTCTACACTACTGTTTAGGGTCAGTAGGATTTTTTTTGTTAATATTTTGAACGAAATGCATATTTTTATTCAGCGAGGATGCATTAAATTGATCAAAAGTGAGATTAAGACATTAATGTTACAAAATATTTATATTTTAAATAAATGCTGTTTGATTTTTTTATTTATCACAGAATGCTGAAAAAATAACTATCCACAAAAATATTAAGCAGCAAATATTAAGCCAATTGTACTTGTTGCAAAAGTCTGAGCTGAATAACATGTGAAATAGAATATTCTATATGCTTTAGTTATTCATTGTCCGTGTTTTAATGTGCTGATAAATCACATACAGGATGCGTTTGGATGAATTCGTCTTGTCTTTGTTAATAAGACACAAAGCGTCCAAAGGCTAATTTGATATTTTATGAGTATTGAGAAGGAAAACATTGGTTCATGCCAACTGTTGATACTGATGAATCTATTACAGAACCTTGAAATGTCTCATTTACTTGCCATCAGATATTTGTTTTGTAATATTTTGTTATGTGCATAGTGCAGAATTACAAATTGTATTTATGAACCCAAGATGTCTGCATCTCTTGATGCATCTCTATAAACATTTGAATTCTTAGGCTGGAAACTTCAATGTAAAGGATAAGTGCATGTTTATATATGCCCATATGAGCCCACAGGAAAGGGTGCGGTCAGGTGGGTGCAAACACATGTATGTGGTATCTTCATTAGTCTTTCCATGTGTGTTTCCAGTGTTTCCATGTGGTTTAGAAAGTAATCATATTGGTCATAATCTAATGGCCATCACATTATGTAGATTTTGTTTGAAGAAGGCCATGTGTGTGTGTATGCGTCTCACGTGTCTGTGCCATATGGGTGTAAAATGTCCTCTTCCATGTTAAAATGTGATGAAATGTTCAAACACAAGGTTCACATCTGAAGGTCAAATTGTTTGTCTTGACAGTTGGACGACAGGTAAATGGGGAGTGTGCAGTAGAACATGTGGAGGTGGGCAGCAGACGCGGAACATCCGCTGCATGAGGAAGGTGACATACCAGCGGGAAGAGGTGGTGGCTCACTCCTTATGTCCAGTAATGGCTCCGGCCCAACTACAGCCCTGCAACACACAGACATGTCCTCCAGAGTGGAGCACTGGCTCCTGGTCTCAGGTATGTTTGCAGAAACATGCAACCTACATAACATTACCTCCATCTGTTTCTTTCCAGTGGAATTAATAGGACGTCATCATCAGGTGTGCAACTACCGTCAATAGAAAGAATAAATCTTTTGTAACATTATTAAGATTTCTTGATTAGCAAATCAGCATATTTGAATGATTTCTAAAGGATCATGTGACACTGAAGACTAGAGTAATGTCTGCAGCCAATTCAGCTTTGCCATCACAGGCCTAATTTAAAATTTAAAATATATTCAAATAGAAAGAGTTCTTTTCAATTGTAATAATATTTCACAATATTACTTTTTTTTTTTTTTACTGTATTTTTAATCAAATAAACACAGCCTTTATGAGCGTAAGTGATTTTATTTTTTCTAAAACAATAAAAAATCATACTGACTCCAAACAATTAAAGTCGTGTATGAAACACAATAGTCACAGTGCAAAATATTTAATGTCGATTGTGCTATTCTTTTGTAAAATCCCAATCTAACAAATGCCAGGTCCTTAAGAACACTAGCAGTTGATTTTGTCTTATTATGTCATGTTTTGTGGTATTAACTGGTTTGTCTCACTTTAAAACATTCCATCGTGTTTGATAAATTTACAGAAATAAGTATGAAAATTTCAAAAGATGCTTTCAAAATATTTAAATTAACTTCAAGTTAACCTCATGTACAATAAACCTAATATAATCTAACTCTCATTCTTTTCATGAGGCTAAAAAAGGGCCATTTTAGATTTGACTTTTGTTCCTGTTCATTTTCTTGCCATTGTGTAAATAATCAATGAATAAAGTTTAGTTTTCTGAGCTTGACCAGAACATGTTTCTGAAATTCTGCTATACCCTTTTATAGAAATCTTTCCCTAAATTACAACACATGCGTATTACGTTTTGAAAAGTGACCAGAGAATGAGGTGAAGGCTTGAGATGCCCAAAACAACATAATGTAAAAACGTTCTGTATGCCACATTAGTGCTGAAACACTACTGCCCCCTGCTGTTATTGCACATCTAGCACATTCATTAAGAATCTGTTCTGCATGTATTGAACTTCTGAAATGACCACACAAAGTGTCCTTTCTGAAACCTTAGTGTTGTTGGAAAGTGTTATATTAGATAAATGACTACTTTACACATGGTTTAATCTAATATTTTGTACTAACTTTTGCTGTTGCTACTTGTGCATATATTTGTGTACTCTGAACTTTATCTTTCCATGAACACACGCGAAAGCCAGAGAATGCTGAAACACATTGGCAGAGTTCATGTCATCATTAGCAGCAATGCTGAATTCTTTAACATTTTGTTCCAGTCTAATCTTATGTAATATGTTAAATCATAAATCTTTGAGAAGATTTTGCAGTAGTAGTTGATATTGACTAAATTCCTCCTAAAGGTCAGGTTGAGTTTGCACCGCCTGTCTCCAGAGTTCATATCAACTGCTGTTTGAGGTGAACTGCATGCTACTGTGACCTTTACAATGTTTAAACTAACATCACTCAAAGACCACGTGAGGGTAACTCTCTCTGTCTCTCCATGTTTGTCTTTCTTTCCTTCCTTCTCTCTAGTGCACTAAGACCTGTGGGCGAGGGTGGAAGAAGCGTAGTGTTTTCTGCAGGAGCACTAATCCAGGTGCCAGGGCTGTGGTGGTGCCTGACAGCATGTGTAAATTACACCTGAAGCCCAAAGCCCAGGAGACCTGTGTGCTGAGCCGCTGCCCCAAGAATGAGCATCTTCAGTGGATAACTACCACCTGGGGAGAGGTAAGGCCCCTCATAGGAATATCAGATGTTATGTAGAAGAGCTCACACAAACAGTTCATATGTAGCACATGCATATATTCACCCATTTAATTCTTATGCAGAATCATGGGCATGTTAAAGAGACGTCTTCATGCAAATATCATAATGCTAAGTGATATCCATATCCAGTCAGAACGAGGTGGGGTGGTTAGGACCGGATGGGTTACATCAGCATGTAAGCCATTGAAGCCCTGATATACTCACGGCAAAGTTCTTTTTTGTTCTTCAGGGTAAGGGTAAAAAAAAGTTTGAAATACCTTTGCAGTGATATACTGTTCATCCTGATGATGAACCTAAATATGTGCTGCATGCATTTATCAACACACAACAAAAATGACCGCAGTGAGAAAACAGCAGTTAAGAAAGCATCTGATCATAGCGATGTGGATATGTTTGCACAAGCTATGCAGTTCCAGTCAAGTCACATCATATTTATATAAGCGTTTTATACAATAGTTCACTTTACAGCAAGCAGCCTTACCTTATTAAACATGAAACACAGCGTTAATGTCTCTTTCAATTAGAAATACTATTTAAATTTCAGAAAGCAGCTCTCCAGTGTGTGCATGTTTTTACTTGCGTCTGACCTCAACGAATTGAACAGAAGAAATGAACCAGAGAAGTTTTCCATGTCAAAGAAGTCATAGTTCGAAGTTGTTTACTAGCAGTTTGATGGTGTTTACTACAAGCTGTTTCGAATTCCCAAAATGAATTCCAAACTAACTTCGTTTTGGCTTGATTTTTTTTCTTTTTCAAAATGACATCACACCAGTTCTTTCTTCAATTTTGCTTTAAATATTAATTTACGTATTTGCTTTTAAGTATTCATTTTTACCCTAATTTACAGTCTGGAGGGGTTAACGCTAGTTAACTAGATTTAAGTTGACAGATTTCACTCAAAATCGCGTAGTGTACGATTTTAGAATACATGTTGTTTTCATTTATCATGCTTTTCCTAGCAAAGAGGCTCATTTTGTTGTTTTCGAATCAACTTGAATGTCTGGTACTGTGTTATCCTCAGTCGTCTAGTGTATGATGTCCAGTTTTTCCTCTGTAACTACTTACAGCAAGTGTATGGTGCCTAGTGTTTTAAAATCTCTTCAGATGTGAAAAGTCATGTAGTGTATTCCAGCCTTGCGATGCAAACGTTATCATGTGTGCAAGTGGTTAGATCAACATCTGTACATGTATTTTTAAAGACAAGTATTTGATTCCAGACAGCTGAGTGGTACTTTCCGATCTGCATTTGTACTTCAGTATGTCTCTCCTCCAATCTAGCAGCATTGTTAACCCGTTGCTATGGAGGAATGAGTTGATCTTGTAGCGAAGGGTCAGTGGAGTATTTATGTGTGTATACATATATATTTATGTACCTTATTCTCTTATTGTCTGGTTGTTTTATGCAGTGTTCGGCCTCCTGTGGAGCAGGAGTAAAGAGAAGAGAGCTGCAATGTGGGGAGAAAGACTCCCAAGTAGGCTACACAGAGTTCCCTGTGAGGAGGTGCAGGAACCTCCATAAGCCCCAAGCAGACCTTGAGCAAGCTTGTAATAATGGCCCCTGCCCAGAGCCCCCACCGCCCCAGATCCTCCAGCCTGGCCCAGACAGGGGTGGCACTTCTGTGACTCTGGGGTGGTACTCCTCTCCTTGGCTGCAGGTATGCACAACTAGCTCATCATAACCAATCTGGGTTCTGTTCCATTTCTATTCTGCTAGACATCTAATATTCCTGTCCTCTCTGTGTGTCTTTCAGTGCACAGTGTCCTGTGGTGGTGGGGTGCAGACACGTAGCGTTCAGTGTCTGAGACAAGGGCGTCTGTCAGTGGGCTGTTTACCTCATCAGAGACCCATCAGCTCACGTGCCTGCAATACACATTTCTGTCCTGGTCCAATCCCAGTCCCTGTCCTACCTCCCTCACCTACACTTAAAGGTACAAGCTGGTTTACCTTTACCTTTAATTTTCATTTATTGATTTAGAAGACACTTAAATCCAATGTACACTACCATTCAAATGTTTGAGGTCAGTGAGACTTTAAGAAATTAATAATATTATCTGCAATGATGCAAAAGTGACAGTAAAGGCATAATAAGTTACAGTATAATGTTACCTAAGATTGCTGTTTAAAAAAAAATGCAGCACAGCTGTTTTCAACAGTGATACTAATAAGAAATGGTTCCTAAGCACCAAATCAGCATATTAAGGCCCTTTCGCACCGCTTTAGTTCCAGAACTAAATGTACGGTACTAAAGTACTGGGACGATTTTGCGCGAACTATTTCCCAGTACCATTTAAAGGGTTGCATTCACATCGACAGTGTGTACTAAGAAGTGACGTAAGCCGGTCGACAGCGACGTCATTTGTGCGCGGCATTCAACAACAGAAACAAAGAACTACGTTAACAACAGGAGGATGGAGGACGCTGTGACCGGAGCTGTGTTTTTGTTGTGTCTCGCGGGTTTCACAATAATGGACATGAAATGTCGACGTATATGTAAAGTGATTGAAAGAATGGAAAGGAGGACTAAGAATCTCCCATGACAACTGGCAGTGCTACATTTGCTACAAGTACCTGCACTTCAGCGTCCGTCCATCTATCGCTGTTCTCCATACTTGCAAAATAATACAGTATGTTTACACTAAGTTGACATGCTTACAGTATGTTTACACGGTGTTTTAAATCATGGCGGGTGAGGGCGTTTTCATACGTGTTTGGCCAATCAGTGTCTACTTACGTTACGATTAGTACCAGTTGTGCTGGTTAGACCCTGCTCCGGAGTAGGAGCTAATTTGGTTCTCGAAAAAGGCAGTCCGGTACTAAAATCGCACCCAGTTCCGGCGGTGCGAACATGCCGAAAAGTGGGTAGTTCCACAATTAGTTCTGGTACTATGAAAAGGTCCCTGTGGTGCGAAAGGCCCTTTAGAATGCTTTCTGAAGGATACTGATGCCTAAAATTTTGGACTTTAGTGTATATATATTATCACAGTTAGTGTGTTATCTGTTTGCATGTTCCTGAGAATCAAACCCAATTTATCCCAAAGAAGTATTAACATGAGGTGCGCTTCAATACAAACTTACAAGACTTGTTCAGAAAAGTACAGAATAAAACCGAGATGAACATGAAATTGAGATTTATTTGTGCGTGCAGTTACCAGTGTCTTGAGCCAAAACTGGCAGCCAGTGAAACAAGACAATGAGAAGTGAAGATTGAGTTGTATTCTGAATTATTTGCAGAGGTTTTATTGGGCATGTGGGCCAATCGGTTAGCAGAGCGTTATAATCTAGATGTTAAAAGAGTCTATGGCCTGGTCTTCTCCAAGCTGTACATAAATCTGCATGACCAGACTATCTTAACAATAAGAAGTGAAATGTAGCTAATCTACTCTCATTGTTAGTTCATCACTTATTTGCAGGAACATTTTCAATTGTCTTGCTCATAGGAACTATGGTGTTGGCTCATGGATCAAACCAGCAATCTTTGGTTGCCATCCCTGAGTCTTGAACACTACACCACTCCAACTTTTACCTCAACTCTTATCTCACTCAACAGTACCTGTAATGCCTGAATGGGCATACCACTGGATGTTCATTGGTTATGACATACTGCTGAATGTTTATTTGTTATGAACTCTCATATCTTGTTCTGTAGCTCAGCAGGTGGAGCATTAAGTTAGTAATGTCATGGGTTGGATTCTCAGGAAACGTACTGATAAAACATATTGCTTTAGATAAATAATCTGCCAATTGCATAAATGCATGAATGTTTTCCACAGTGTTAATTGTTATTGTTGCTTTGTTTACATATGCAATTATCCAGCTTGTTAGCTACTCATTATGTAGTGATAAAAACACTGTACTTTTTACTTGATTTAAAACCACATTGGTAGGTCAAATGACTGTCTGCCACTATTTAACAATAAGAAACTGATATACATTGTGTGATTAAACAATATAATTTAAATGAACAAATCACAATTGTCATGTACTGTACATAGCTTAATTATAATGATAATGAAAACATAAAGTTCTCTTCTCCATAGACAATAGATGTGTGTGTGTGTGTGTGTGTGCATAATTGTTTATTCTCATTGGATAACTGAGTGTGAGGGCCTTCAGAGAGCAGGTCAGGTCCTTATCGGTATGCCGGTGCAGTATTTACAAGTGCTTTGCAACATCGCCACAATGTCTCTATTCAGAGTAAACAGCACTTACAAAAACATTGAGTGTTTGTGTTAGCACTGTAGTTTTTAAGGCTTAGAATAAATCATTAAATATAAATAAATAATAATATAAATAATAGTCATTATGTGTCTTTCCGTTAACAGAAGACCAGCCTTGCATCGACTTCTTCAGCTGGTGTCATCTGGTGCCTCAGCATGGTGTTTGCAATCACAAATTCTATGGTCAACAATGCTGCAAGTCCTGTTCCACCAAAAGACAGTAATAGGAAGATCTTCCCACGAGCCTCCTCACTTTTCTTAGATCTGTAAATCATTGTGATACAGATGACCACTATGGACAAAGTTGATATTTGCGAGATGTGGTAAAGAAAGAGGCATTCCAGTGGACCGTGTCTTGGACTAGTGAGAGATAATAAGAGCCTGGTATCCGAGGAACTCGAGAAACTCATTGGTACATTGGAAAACTGGATCTGGTTCTGGCTTCATCTGTGGTGTATCATAATTAGAATTGTGTTTTTTTTAAATAACCAATCTGCAGAACATTTATATTGTAAATATCTCTGTTCTCTTATGATTGGAGATGTGACCATCGGTTAAAGCCATTAAGAGACTTCCATCATCTGTTCATCATCAGTATGCTACATTGAAGAGCACCAGATGCCTGGGAGAGTAGACTACAATGCCAGCTGTTCTGACTCAAAGACTGTAAGTACGTCTTTTATATTTAAACAGTTTTTATATTTTATATATTTAAAGCAAGTTTTTTGGGCAGTGTAGAGTAGTGCTTGTTTGTCATTCCTCCGATCACAAATACAGACATGGTTTTATTTTTACGCGATGCAAAACAACGCGTAAAAATACAGTAGAAGTCATTATAATCCATAATTATGTCCCCACTGGATGCAACGAATGCCTCGTTTATAATGGGTTTTCATGTTTTTTGGGCCTGACAGGGCATCATTACAATATGGCAAGGGGCGTAACATTTCCGTCACACGCTTGAGGTATTCGGCCAATCACAACGCACTGGATAGCTGGCCAATCACAGCACACCTCGCTTTTTCAGACCGATTAGCTTTTTAAAAATCGATGCGTTTCAGAAGGCGGGGCATAGAGGAGAAACCATAATGTACAGTATGTGGAAAATAATGTGTTTTTTGAACCTTAAACCGCATAAACACATTTCATTACACCAAACACACAAAATATTGTTATTTTCAGCAGCATCATATGACCCCTTTAATGTGTTTACTTTGCTATAAAAACCCTCTGTTTTTTATGTTTACAAACTAACTTCAACTTTTCAATTGGTCAAAATCCTCCAGTCAAGACAACATACACATCTCTACCACATAGGCTTCTAATTTTAACAGACATTAACATGCTCAAATTTTCTCTGTGGAACTGGAGTGACCTGTAAGTTTGAGTCACAATTCCGTCTGATTGCCACAGAAGACTAAAGCAGACAAGATAGATTTATCATTAATGAAGATCAGTGCTTCTGCTGAAATATGTAGTGGGGCCATTGGCAGATGAACTATGTTTGTGTATGTCTGCCAGTATGTGTGTGTAATTTGTCTGCAGTTCATGCAGGCTATCTCCCACGCGGTGTACGAGAGGGCTAGGCTCGTCCCAGATGTGTGTCAGAGAGAGTCGAGTAGGTTGCTCTCAGTCACTTTGTAGGGACCAATTAGTGTGCAGGAGTGAGTGTCATGTTCAGGAGGAGGAGAAGCTAACAAACCCAAGCCTCTCAGGACTTGGGACCTCATCTAAGTTGACTTTGTTGGTGTTCTTCATCTCTTTCTGTTTCTATCTGTTTGAGTGCTGCAGTTGTTGGAGCACTGTTTTGTGCTTAACCGAAGAGTGGAGTCTCAAATTAGTAATGCTTTACTAGGGTTCAGGTATGATGGTCCTGCTCTAACAATAAACATTGGAGTAGATGGCACATGGGGTGTAGCAGAAGCATTCATTCTGTCCTTGTTTCAGTCCAAACACTTCATTAACAGTCCCCAACCCCTTGAAGGGATATTTGCATACACTAATATGTGCAAAAGTTCACTTTTAAAAGTAGATGTTGCACTGCAGGGTGCTCTGTCCTTTTTGCCTGAACCATTTTAAAGGGTACTTTCGTTTATTAGTTGTATAACTTCTGGATCTCTATTAATGAACTCTTGTTTGGTCTCTTACAATATGTTTCTTTTGTTGCTTACTTGACTTTAAAAGTGTTCCTAATCATGAACAAATGGAAAATACATTGTTTAGCCTTGTCGTGATGTTATGTATGTTGAACAAACGATGAGTCATGTCTTTCATCACTGTCTGAATTGAAAAAGTGTGTAATTTATTACTATGTAAAAAATTGTTCCTGGGCTACAGTGTTGTCTGGAGCTTCCTGTATAATACCACACTGTAAGTGTGATATTTAATATTTTCACTGAAAGTTTTATAATAAAAAGTATTTGATTTACTGTATTCCTCTAGTGATGCTTTTTCCACTAGTGCTTGGAGAGATTGAGGCGCGTACAGGAAGCCCTTGAATGATGAAAATGCTGCAATATTTAAGAATGAAAAATTATATTCTGTCATCACAACAAATTACTATGAACATCAAGCCAGAAGCAAAGTGGATTTTAGACAAAATACTCCCTAGTATATTATCGACAAGGAAAGCAGACTTGTTCTCTGTGCAAACATAAAACGTTATTTAAAATGTGCCACTAAGGGACAGACATAATAATATAATAAGCTATAAGCACATGAAATAACCCTCTGCTACAAATAGCAGTGTTTCCCATCCAATCATAACATTAAATACCCCAAACATTCATATTCCTCCCTCTCCTCTTTGTGTTCCAGGCAAAATGTTCCTGCATGTACTAAACGCCATAGTAAATCACACTGAGTTTGCTTAAGTCCTCCCTCGACACTCCTGAATATCTTTTCCTCCACATAACATGCATGCATTTGTCATTTTTGTCATATTTCTTAATTTCCCTTTGTGCACAATTATTTGTGATAATTTCTGACAGCATCGAGAAAGTCGTAAAAGAAAGGAGCAATTTGTCATCCGTGTCACTGGATGCACAGACACTGATTATGAAGACTGAATACCAAGCACGTCTGTGGCATTTCTATATCCTCTTGTGCATGGTGCAAACTCTCTTTGTTTCTCTCTCTCCTTGCTCGCTCACACACTCACAAAAGCAGATCCATTTCTTGTTGTATTTCAAGGCGCTGATGTGCCTGATATTGTAAAACAGCCTCGTACCGGCACACACACACACACACACACACACACACACACAGAGACAGGCAGACAGACAGACAGACAGACAGACACACACAGACAGAGAGACAGCAGACAGACAGTGTCTTCACTCTAGAATTCACTGTGTCACTTCAGCTCTGGTAGTATGATGCTTCTTTGGAGTACCCTTCACTTCTGACAGGGTTTCTAATCGCATCTTAACTGGCCATGAGCACTCTCTCTTTCATTCTCTTTCTCTCTTTTTCAGCTCTCAGATGAAGTGAGAGCTGTCATCTCTTCCAGACATATCTCCAATCATCAGCTAAAGGATATCATCCAGCATTCACTCTGTGCCCTTGCGGACAATAGATCACTCAAAGGGTGAATGCACATGTATGGGATCCTATAGAACAGTCATCACCACAGGTGGGCAACAGGTCAGCTCTGGCAGGAAAAATATTGAACAAATGATAAACTGCAACTAACCATATGTGACCCTGGACCACAAAACCAGTCTTAAGTTGCTGGGGTATATTTAGGGCATATTTACAATAGCCAAAAATACATTGTATGGGTCAAAATTATAGATTTTTCTTTTATGACAAAAATCATTAGGCTATTAAGTAAAGATCATGTTCCATGAAGATATTTCGTAAACTTCCATTTTCATTTGGATTTTCGATTTTCTCAATATTTCGATTTTTTTGCACCCTCAGATTTTCAAATAGTTGTATCTCAGTCAGATATTGTCCTATCCTAACAAACCATACATCAATGGAAAGCTTATGTATTCAGCTTTCGAAAATTTGACCATTATGACTGGTTTTGTGGTCCAGGGTCACATATAATTGTGTATAGCTAGTTAAGGAAACAAACTAAATTTGTTGTGTGGGCTTATAAAGTTTTAAAATGTTTCACTTGATGTTTCACCCATATGTTTGGTTGTTTGACAGAGGCTGCTGTGTCATGGCATAAATTCACCTGTCACTTTTTGTAAAATAAATAAATAAAAAAGGAAAAAGGTGCCTTTGCGTCCCAGACATCCCAGCAATTTTTGGACTGTTTCATATGTGCTACGAAAACCATATAAAGCAATAAAAGCTAAAAATGTCATTGTATTTATACAAAGTATGAATAAATTAGTTTGTTAATAAATTAATGAAAAAATAAGAATGGCTCATATAGGCATATGATTAAAATAAATTAAGATTATTGTGGAATTGTCAGTTGAATTGCTTGGGAAGTGGGGATTAATACAAACTGAACATGCACAGAACTACACATATTATGATCAATTTTTTGATTAAAGAAGTGAATGACACTTGAAACCTGTGCAAGGGATTCGCGTTATTTGAATCAGAATACGAAACAGATCACGTGGTTTTGCCAAAATGAATCAAGCTCCGGTACAGTCCCTGCGTTCATGCTATCCATCCTAAATAGTATGTGAAATTAGAATTAGTGTGTCCCAAAGCATAGTATGTTGAAAAGAGGATGCCAAAAGTCCCCAGATGGTCTACTATTTTAGGTCGATTTTTGACATGTGGATCTGTGCACACTCTATGCCTAATATAACCCACAATCCATTGCACTTTGACGAATGATTCAGTTGAGAACAACAAACACGAATAAAAAGCATTAAAAAACTACAAACATGGTGGATGCACGTGACCGACGGTTAAACAGAGAGTTTTAGATAAAGGGGTTTGAGTTACTAATAATCAACATTTAACCTGGTAAAAAAAAAAAAAAGTTATCTGTGTTATATTTCATCTGCAACAGCAATGTGAACTTTTATAAACATCCGTTTGTTCGTTACTTTTAAATGCATCATTGTGCAGAAAATATGAGCAGAGTTCTCTGCATGAAGACCCACGGCTCGCAGATCAACGTGCTACTTCTTTTCTCTCCGATATGCTAAGAAGTGAAATGAAATTAAATGTGGAGGATGTTATCTGTGACAAGATGATTGACAGGCCAGTTTACAGTGACAGGGTGCATATAACAGGTGCGACTGAGCCTCCGTTAAAGATGCAACTGTATGACATGATAGTATGTCCCAAAGCTTGCCTACTCTTCTACTTCACACTCAAAAGTGTGTACTTTTTCTTCACCAAAAAATACATATTTTAAAGGTGTAGTATAAGTAGGCACATTGGGACGCAGCAAGTGTTTCACTGTGAGATGTTTTGTTTTTTGGAAACAAGCTTCGAAGCCTCGATGCCGAACGTCACATCACTAGTTTCAGGTAAATTGCATATTATAATTTTTG